CAGGTATTTATTTAAGAAATCTATTTGCCTTGTGATATAAGGTTTCAGCCTATTTTCCTCTACTTTTGATGCTTACTAGGCCAGTTACCTTGAAGGAAGAACCCCAAGCAGGACAAAATACTAGACTTATTGAATCGTCAAAGAAATATTAAGTTGTTTATAGGACCATAGATTTAGAACTAGAAAGGTGCCCAGAAGCCTTCTAACCCAATCCTCATTTTACAGGTAAGTAAAGTTAGGCCCAGAGACTCGCCCAAGGCTGTGTTTCAGGGCAGCCCTTGCAGTTCCCGGGATCTGAGCTGCTGCTCAGCCTTGGTGTCCATACCTTGGGACCATACTGGTTCTTCTAGGGAGCTGATTAGCTCAGCTCAGTTCAGGTATTTTATGAGGTTGGGGTTTCCAGCCCTGAGATCCTCTGAGCCTAGGAAGCTGGATTTTGTGGTTATAGAATATCTAGCTTATAGGGTTTTCAGAAAAGGAGATGGGGTGAGAGTAAGGACATGTCAGAAGGGAGAAGAGGAGGACAACACAGCTAGAGAATAAGGCAGCCTGTTGGAAAGAGAAAGACCAGTCTGGAAAAACTCCAGTAGCCTTTCTGAAGTGGTAGGATGAATTTTAATTTACTCCCTGGTGTGGGGAGAAGCAGAAAGGGGGATGAGGGATGAGGGAGGCAGCTATGGCTTTACTTGTTTGAAAGGCTCTTCAGTAATCAGAAAGGCCTTTACTAAACTCCAAATAATCTACTATGCCAAAAGGGGGTTTGACTTGGCTACTGGATGAAGTTCAACATAACTTTTTGCCATCTTGAGGCATAAAAAAGGAAGGTGATTTTTCTGGGTGCTACCTTTTCTTCCTACTCTTTCCTTTTCCTTCCATAGTCCTTACTTCCACCTTGTTCACTTTGTAATTTATCAAACATAGTTTGGATTACATTTTACTTTTCTGTTTTTTTTTTCTGGAGTTGCAATTTCTTTGGTGTAAGGAACTTCCTTGACCACTGCAAATTGGCAGCCATTCTGTCACTCAGTTGGCTTTTGTCTGCCCTGGTTCACAGAGCCAGTATTTGCAGTGCAAGATCTGAACCTTGGTCTTCCCAGTTCTGAGACTGATTGTCTGTGCACTATCCCATGCTACTTTTCTTTCTTTCTTTTCTTTTCTTTTTTTTATTATTGGGTGAAGCAATTTGGAAATAAGAGCTATATATAGTTGAGGTTTTTGCAACTATAAGTTCACAGTAGTTATAATCACACAGGTTTAAAGCCCTGTACAAACCTTTCTATTATCTAGGGTTGTCCTTTTTCAGTCCAAAGGTCTTGACCTTTTGGGGCTTTGGTGGCTTTGACTTACTTCATTTTCCAGCGAAAGCTTGTAGAATATTGAAAGAACATTAAATTTGGAGTTATCAGATCTGGGTTTGAACTTCCTGTTTTTGTGACTCTCTGTAAGTCATTTTACCTCTTGTGAACCTCAATTCCATTATCTTTGGTGGCTTGGAGTCAGGAAAACCTGACTTTAATTTGGCCTCAGACACTTAGTTGTTGATGTGGTTCAAGTCACTTAACCTTTGTATGCCTCAGTTTCCTTATTTGTAACATGGGGATAATAACTCCCATGTTACTTATTTCCTACTCCCTGGGATTGTTGTGAGAATCGAATGAGATAATATTCATCAAGCACTTTGTAAACCTTAAAGTATTATGTAAATGCTAGCTGTTATTATTGTTGTAACCAAAGGGTTGGTTTCAGAAACTTGGGAAGTCTTACATAAACCAATGCAAAATGAAGTGAGCTGAACTAGGAGAACAATTTATACAATAACATTAACATTGTAAAGACAAACAACTTTTAAAATGCTGAGTTCTAAGAGCTGTAAAAATACTAGCTGCTATTATTATTGTTATCATTATTATTATTACACTGGCACTGTCTTCATCCCAAAATTTTTGTGGAGACAGTTCTTTTAAACTTTAAACTCTGTATAAAAAGGAAATGTAACTAGTCACAGGTTACGTTTTTACCTTTGATCTGCTTAATCTGTGGAAGTTCAAGGTCTTCCTGCCTGATATTACTCTATGAACACGCCATCTGCTTTACCTTTAGCTGATATTCAGCCCAAACAGTGATTAAGCACCTATTTTGTGTAGAGCACTCTGCCTAGACACCTGGGGGACATGTAAAACTTAATCTGACCTCATGGATTTCAGAGTATCTTATTTATCTAAGGCCTTTGTCCTTAGAATCTGTACTTTGGTTTGGAGCCTTGAAGGCTCCCAAGAGCCGTCTAGGGATTTTTTTAAAAAAACTTCTCATACTGGGAGTACTTGTCACTCAACAACTGGTACATTTCTCCACCATGCTTCCAAATGAATTTTTTATTACTTTTTTCTAATTCAGGAAAATAATTTTTTGGTAATTTAATTTGGATGACATTGAATATATAAATTAGTTTAGGTAAAATTGTCATTTTTATTATATTGACCCTGCCTACCCATGAACAATTAATATTTCTCCATTTATTTAAATCTGATTTTATTTGTATAAAATTTTTTTTTATAATTTTTTTTTTCATATAGTTCCTGGGTTTGTTTTGGCAATGAATTTTTAGGGAATCTAGTTCCCAAAGAGACCATGTCCCTTTTACATATGTTGTCTTGTCTGATCCTTACAGTAACTCTTGAGGTGGTTTGTACATGTAATATTCCCATTTTACAGATGAATAAATTGGGATTCAAAGAGGTTATGACTTTCACTGTCACCAGCTAGTAGGGGAAAATATACCAAAAGTAATTTCGATTTTTTCATCGGGGATGTTTCCTCTTCTGAATTCCATTGGACTTAAGAGCTCAGCTTACATTTTAGCATTTTAACATCCCTCTCTTTCACATTTACTTTGGGGAAAGGGAATGGATTTTTTTCATACTGTAAATTAAGGTTTATTAAGTGAACATTTTAAGGATTATCAAAAATGGAATACAGCATGGCCACTTGGGAGAGATCTATGGAGTGATTTAGGGGCAGGGCACTAAGAAAAGAGGAGCGGGGGGGGGGGGGGCGTGTGGGAGGCTGACAGATGAAGTTGACCTGCTTCACAGTTTTGTCTGGAGTGGTCTCTCTTGCTAACCCTAGGCCCTTCCACAACCCAGGCTGTAGGGCCACTAGATTTTGCTGCTAAAAGATTAACCAGAATACTCATCATCCAAGACTATGGAGATTTTATTTTGTACTTTTCCTCTCAGGAGTTAATAAAGCACCTAAGATCTACCAGAGGCTATTTCACCAAGAAGAAGAACCAAGCTCATTGTGAAGAGTGAGGTGTCTGGGCTTTGTTTCCAGTTCTTTGTGAAATGTTACCTGACTTATTAACAGCTAACCTAATCTGGGGAGTGCCTTGGGCCCAGTGGGTGAAAGATGATGTCATCCTTACCTCTTAAAGAAATCTGCTTCCAGCTTAATGGCCATTAAGCTGGACTCCACATCATGAAATGCCTTCTCTTTCCAGCATGTAATCTTTGTATGTGGTTCAGCTCCATTCTTCTTTGCACCATTCTCAGCCCTTTCATTCTTATTTTTCATTCTCTCTCCCTAGTTCCTTTTGTTTCCTTCTCCTGTCCCTAGGCCTCTTTCCTACCATGTTCCTGGGTACACAGTATCCTTATTTATTCTCTGATTTCCTAAATTCTCCTATTATATCCAACCCGGTGGTGCAGGAAGTGCCCCAAATTATGTTCCTAAATTACCTGCATCCAACCTTCCCTCCTGGAATCTTAGTAAACTAATTGTTGCTCCTATGTCCCTCCTGGTAGTTTTACCTAATTACCTTACAGCCCAGTGACGTTATGCAGCTCATCTTCATTGTAAACGTTTACTTTCTGCTGGCGCCCAGCTCTTGTCGTTTTCCCTGTTTGATTCCATGCATGTGCCCCAAATCACAGGATTTGAGAGTTAGCCAGAACCTAAGTATCCATCTATTCCAAAGCATCTATGAAAGGCATCCCCATTATAACATACTGTAACACACTCTACTATATCTATATCTATATCTATATCTATATCTGTATCTGTATCTGTATCTGTGTCTGTATCTGTATCTATATCTATATCTATACCTATATATAGTAATATGCTATAACACACTACAACATCCCCACATAACATAACATGCCTGACAAGTACTCTTCTGTCCTCTGCTTGAAGACCTCCAGGGAGGAGGAACACAATAGCCCTTGAAGCAGCTCATTCAACTTTTCAGCCCTGGAGCTCACTTCTGAAGGCCCCTGAGACCTCCTCCCTCAGATTGAGTGACTCCTTCAAGAGCCTCCATTTAAGAAAGCTGTCGAGGCCAGCCATTTTTTTGTTTCCCAATAGGCTGCAGTCCCCACCCCCCAGGTCTAACTTCAGCTTCTTTTTGTGTCTTCCTCATTAGAATGTAAGCTCCTTGAGGGTAGGTGCTGTCTTTCTTTTTGCCTTTACATGTATTCCCAGCATGAGGCTCAGTGCCAGACTTGACTGACTATTTGACTTGATTAAAAGCAGTGACTTAGAACAGTGAATAGAACTCTGGGCCTGGAGTAAAGAACTGAGTTCAAATGTGGCCTCAGACTAGCTTTGTGACTCTAGATAAGTCACTTAACCTCTGTCAGCCTCAGTTTCAAAATGGGGATAATAATAGCATCTACCCCCCCCCCCCGGTTTGTTGTGAGGATCAAACAAAATAATATTTGTTTCTTTTTTTAAAATAATATTTGTAAAGTACTTAGCACAGTGCCTGGTACATAGTAGACGTTTAGCAAATGCTTTGATTATTCATGTCCTTCCTAAACTGTGGCACCCAGATCTGAACGTAATACTGGAGATGTATTCTGACTACACAATGACTACAGTAATGTGAATGAAAAGTTGAATCAGTAGATTCACTATCAGAAGCTGTGGGTCCCCAGTAGCTGTGGGCTCCTGTGCATGGTGATATAATTAGAACATTTGTGTGTGCATTTCTTTTCCAGCTGGCATGCTGCTGTGGCTATGCTGGGTGTGCCTTATGCTGCAAATGCTGTCCCCGGATCCGGCAGTCCAGGAGCACCCGCTTTATGTACGCGCTCTACTTCATCCTCATCTCTCTCATCTGCTGCATCATGATGTCCAGAACGGTAGCCATAGAGATGAAGAAACATGTAAGTTGGCATCATGGCAACTTTGCTCAGACCAAACCTGGACTTATCTATATACAGATTCTTTTGTAGAAGTCCATTGAGATGATGTGGTGGAAGCATCTCTGGTCCAGGGACCTGGGATATCTGGTTCTTCCTCCTTACCTGAGTTGTTCAGTCTAGGGCAAGTTTCCTCACCTGTAGAATGGACATGATAGAAACAAATTTAAGGTTAGAAATGAATTTAGGGTTAGAATTAGAGTCAGTCAGCAGTTATTAGGGTGATGATGGCAATAGGGCCACTAAACAATACATAAGGATTCCCTACAGGTCGAATGTTGACTTAGAAACCTATATATTAACATCATCTATTTCTATTGTATTTTTATTTATTTTGTTATATATCTCCCAATTACATTTTAATCTGGTTCTGGCTCATTGGAGCATTATAAGCAGATGATACTTCTGTAGTGGATAGAGAGTTGGCCCTGGAGTCAGGAAGGCCATGGTTCAAGTACTGACTTTTTGACCCTAGGCAAGTCATTTAAACTATTTTTTGGTTGTTTTGTTTTGGTATTTTGTTTTGTTTTTGTTTTGGAGGCAACCAGGGTTAAGTGATTTTCCCAGGGACACAATTAGTAAGTGTCTAAGGCCTGATTTGAACTCAGGTCCTCCTGACTCCAGGGCTGGAGCTCTATCTGCTGCACCACCTAGCTGCCCCTGTGGTGGCTGTTTCTATGATGGAACTTCCCTATGTGGGTGAGATCACAGTTTTGGCCAAAAAAAAGAAAGAAAAAAACCTTTTATTATCCACTTCAAAGAAAGTTCTGCGCATGCGTGCTTGCGTACACACACACACACACGCACACGTACACACACACACACACACAGCCACATGTAAATATCTATTTATATGATGCATTCAGTGTTCAGGAGAGGTGTGAAAATACAAATGGTTGAATAGCAGAATTATTGGGACTAGTGGAAAGGTGTTCCTGGTAGTCTTTCTGACCCATCTGGGTGAGGCCAGGCTGCTGGTGGTGGGGAGGGGGGGTCCGCTCCAGTTCCCTAGAACAGTAAATGCAGAGCTAGGCATGCTGCTGCAGACTCTTAGAGAACCTATTTCTGGGTGTCATTCTCCTTGCCTCAAATAGCAGATTCTCTCCACATTGCAGTATGGCTGTATTTCAGTAGTGAACATGTTAATTTGAAATTCAGGAATAGGAATGGGGACTGGACTCAAGTTTATAACTGCATTTTACCTAGAAAAAAAGGCTACAGTAAGCATGGCATAGATAAGATTTCAGGGAGAGTACTTAAAACTATGAAAACAACAGACACATTTCAAGCACTTAGGAAACTTTGCTAATATCAAAATCTTGCATAGTCATTCAGGTGAACTTAAATTCACTTCTAGGATTTAAGGGCCTTTATTACCAAATACTTTCTAATTGTGGTTGTATGTAATGTAAGTACTATAAAGTAATACACATTCTTCCCACTCCTTTGGCTTGACTTAGTACTCTTCTAATGTGTATGTGCCCTTGCCATGATTTAATGTTGAATACTTGGGTTAGGAACTTACAGAGTAAACAAGATCCTGATGTTGTAAACGTCTTTGAGTCCTCTTGTTCTGTCTTTGCTGTTTGGAGTCCAGAGCTGCCACTTTTCAGTAAACATTTATTAAGTACCTACTGTGTGCCAGGTACTGTGCTAAGCACTGGGGTTACAAAAAGAGTCAGAACACACACACAGCCCCTGCCCTCAAAGAGCTTACAGTCTAACAGGAAGAACAACTTGCAAACAATTATATACAAAGCAAGACCGGATCAATAGGAAATAAGTGACTGAAGAAAGGCACTGGGATTAAGAGGTTGGGGAAGGCTTCCTGTAGGAGGTGGGATTTTTAGTTAGGACTTAAAAGGAAGCCAGGGTGGTTTGCTGGGAAGTTCACGTAGTCAATTGAAGCCCTTCTTATGGTGTGTTAAAATTAACGTAAGATTCTCTGGCTTTTCTTATCAAAGATAAGGAACCATACAGGGAAAAGGGAATTTATGACATCTACCTTATGGGGCTAGGTGGTGCTAGACCTGGAGTCAGGAAGATTCATCTTCTTTAGTTCAATCCAGCCTTGGCCACTTACTAGCTGTGTGACCCTGGACAAGTCACTTTATTTGTTTGTTTGTTTTTTCTTTTTTTTAATTTCTTTTTTCTTTTTTCTTATTCATTTATTTTTTTGGTAGGCAATGGGGTTAAGTGACTTGCCCAGGGTCACACAGCTAGTAAGTGTTAGGTGTCTGAGGCCGGATTTGAACTCAGGTACCCCTGACTTCAGGGCCGGTGTTCTATCCACTATGCCACCTAGCTGCCCCCCTGGGCAAGTCATTTTAACACTGTTTGCCTTAGTTTCCTCATCTGTAAATGAGCTGGAGAAGGAAGTGGCAGATGATTCCTGTATCTTTGTCAGGAAAACCTCAAATGGGGTCAAGAAGAGTTGGACAGGACTGGAAAATGGCTTAAAAACAACAAGCCTTATTTATGGTCACCTTCTTACAGTCGAAATGCCCAACAAATCTTTTCTTTGTTTATTGATAAATCTGCTACTAGCTTCTAGCTGTGAAGTTATCTTTTGGCATGCAACTCTTTCCTCTCAATTAGCCCTTTGTAAACTCTCCAAATATAGCCTTGAAGTGTAAGTCTTAGAGGCTTCGCTTTGAAAGGTAATTCCTTTTTGTTTATCTCTATAGGCCAAACTGTTTGTCTTTGTTTTTCCTTTTTGTTGAGTTATGGGTAAGAATCTATTTTCCCTTTAGCACAGGTATAAGATAAAAAATTAATAATTACTAAAATTATTAAAAATTATTTGCCTTTCTAATGTAATTAAAAACTATATAAGCCTTGTGAACTCTTTGATGAGGGTCAAGAGTTTATTAATTCTGGGTCTGTGCTTAACTTGTCTAAAAAAGCTTGGTTTTGCCTTCTGGCAACAGTGCCTATCAGTGGACTCCATGGGGTGTTTTCCCATGACACTAACAAGGCGGAGTCCTCTTCTGCTACGATACTTCTCAGACAGCTGGTTTACTTAAGGGGGTCCGATTTCTGTGTTCCTACCTTCATATGAAACTCCTAGAGCGCTGACTTAGTTCAGTGGAGTGTTGATTTAATGCCTTCAATGTATTCCAGCACTGTCCTGGGCACCCCAGAGATCTATGGCATGGCCCCTCGGAAAGCTTTCAGTCTGGGAGAAAGAAGCAATCAGAAGAAGATAAAAATATGCCACACCTTTAGATTCAGTAATATAGCTGTTAATGACAGATGTATTTCAACAACACACTTAAATGTCAGAGATTTTGTTATGGAGGTAAAAATAATAATCAATATTAAATTTCTTGTCTTCTCAAGGAGGGAGGAGGAAGAGAGAATTTAGGACTCAAAATGTTGAGAAAAGAAAAGATTGTAAAAATTTTTTAATATGGAATTGGAAAATATTTAACAAAGTAAAAATATATTAAAAAGATACTGGAAATATAAAGGAGAACCTTCTGTCCCCTTCTTTGGAGTGCTGACTTCCACCAAGCTGGGCTCTGACTTGCCCTGAGACTTATGCCTAGAAACATTGATGTCTTCTCCTCTTTGGCCAAGCCACGGACCTAACCTTGAGAAACCAGAACTTTTTCTAATTATCTCTGCATCCAGGCTTTGAGATATGAATGGTAATTAGTCAGCAACTAGTAGGCTCTGCCTAGTGTGGGTTGGTGGCAGAGATAGTTCATGCACAAGCCATTTATTAAGTGCTTTCTATGTGCTGAGCTCTAGGGATGCAAAGGGAGGGAAAAGGCCTTTAAAGAAGCCCCTTCTAATGGGGGAGATGGCATGTAAGCAGCTAAATACGTATGAGATATATACAGAGTAGATGAAAGGTGATCTCAGAGTAGAAAATACTAGTTGGGGGTTTGGGGTGGGTGGGATAGTTTATCAGAAGTAAGATTTTTGAAGGAGATGAGAGCATTCCAGAAATATTCAAAGGCCACTGTACTGTCCAGTAGGAAATCATATTGACTATGGAAAATAGAGCCAGACTTTTTTCTGGTAGGCATTTAAAATTCTGGGAACCATTTAAAATTCTTAAGAGGGAAAGGGAGGGAGCAAATTTTGGAAGCCATTTGCAGGATAGATTGGAGGCTAGGCTTGTATGATTGAGAGAATTAAAAGTAAGAAGACCTCATTAAAAAGAAAAGGAGATAGTAATGAAGACTTCTGAACTTTCTTATATTTTTTTACTGATTGTAAATGTGACTATTAAAATTCTTAAGGGTCCTTCATCCCCTTCCTGAGCTTTTCCCTGGAGGAACAACTCTAGGGTATTGTGGAGATTTTCCAGCCTGCCACTTGTCTCACAGTCACTTTTTTCTCATTGACATTTTCTCCAAGTGCAGAACAGGAGCTGACATCATCCTCCTCCTCCTCCTCCTCATCATCATATCAGCATCATCAGCCAGTCCTCACTGTTCCTTCTGAATGGGAAGGCTCTCAGTGGTTCAGTGAAAGAACTCCTTGTGGAGACTTAGGCTGTGAGCCCCCTGCTTCTCCTGACCCCCTTCTAGGGCCTATGGAAATTTAGGACTATGACTGAGAAAGGAAGAATGAGAATTAGAGATTTGTAATTGCTAGGAAGAAAAACTTCTTTCACACCCACACCCGCATTCTTTCCGTTCTGCTAACTGTATGCAAGCTCTGTCTATAGTCATGTGGACCTCTGGAGTGTAGGAGTAAGCAACATAAGTCCTGTCCCCGTCTTGAGCTTGGTTTGTTTAGAGCATGTCCTGGTGAAGAAGTCATAGAGGTGGAAGGGACAGGAGAGATCTTCTAATCCAGGGATTTTTCATCTTTTGGGAGTCACTGGGCCCCTTGGACAGTTTAGTAAAAGCTGTAGACTCCTCAGAATAATGTTTTTAAGTGCATAAAATAGAATATACAGGATTATAAGAGAAACTAACTCTACCGAAGTACAGTTATTAAAATAT